TCTTAGCTCTTGCCTATCTGATATGCATTTTAGGATGGGATGAATGACTGTCTGCAGATGTCTCCCACTTCAGAGAGACTGCAGAAAGCAGACTGGACACCTGCCTTCTAAGTAAGTTCCAGAGAAATGGAGACTGACTCACCAATGCTCTGCTGTTTTAAAACCCACCTGTTCGAAGAATTAGTTGAGAATAGAGCATTATTTTACCATATTCTTACACTTCTATCCACAATAACTAAATGGCTGTCATCTGTTATTTCACTTTCCAGATTGCTACTGCTAGATTGCAAGTGTTAAGTGGAGCCCTAACCTCTGGCCTGGCACACAGTCCCAACATGTGAGTTCTAGTTGGGCAGAAAGAAAGAGCTGAGTGGTTTCCACCAAAGTACAGACTACTGTTGAGGATCTTCTGTCTCAAAGATATCACAGAGGAAGTCTCATATTTAACCTTATTAGCAGCCACTCAGGAGAACCTTACCAGAGTTTACAGCACAAATACAGCCTGGCATGTGAAAGCTTCCTTTGATGTATATATAATTCAATTTTATTTTTTATTACAATAAATACATTCTCTTTAAAACAAAAGTCTACAGAAATCTTAATATATAGATCCTGAAAAATATTTAAGCAGGATACTTAACATCAAAGTCATGTTTAACATAAGAAAATTTAATAATGATCACTTTGATGGCCAGATGGTCTACTGAACATCTCTAACGTGACATAAAGAACTGACCCATCATTCAGCTAAGGGAGTACATATTGAGAAGCTCACCTCGTTCCAACATTCACTGTTCTTTCAGATTTGAGGTGACATACAATGGGTGTCACAGTGAGTTGTCTGAAGAAGCACTTTTTGATGGCTTGCTGTTTTATTTGCTTTAAAGAATAAACAGATCTCTGCTTTGAGAATAAAGCTTCAACCCCATTGTCACTGTCATGTCAAATTCTAACTTCTGAATACATACCCTGAGGGGCTGGCATGCAGATGCAGAGGTCTGGTACGTGTGTCTATAGGCTATGCTAAAGATATTGGATGTTTCTCTGTAACATACCATCAATGCTTGTTCACCTGCTGTGCATACTGTTACATCTCAGCAGGTGTTCCACCTCTGTCTTTGTCTATATCAAGCTTTAATGCTTCCTCTATTTTTAAATGTTTTTAAAATGTGCAGCTACCAAGCTGGTCTGTGTTGTGGCATTTCTTAGCAATAGCAATGACAGTATGCAGCCCTTAATTGTGTATCGATTTGTGTTTCTCTTCTAGCATTACATCTGACCCTTTTTTAGATCTTTTCATCTTATTAGATGAGTAAACTTGAAATTTGGCCAAACTCTAAGTAGCAAAAAGTAAATACTGCCTTTGTATTTTCTGTGCACTTTGAGGAAAAACCTGTGCTTGAGTGCACATACGCAGAAAGAATTAGGGCTGGGTACAGCTCTTGTCTGTAATAAGTAATTTTTAATTTTTTCTATTTCTGATGTATTTATAGAACTGCATTGACTCCCTCTCATGTTTACTTGAATGCTGTAGCCAGCTATGTTTACTAAAGCCCCTATTCAAATAATCTTTTAAAACATTTAAAAATATTTAAAATATTGAGTTTTTCAAATTTCATTAAAATAGTTTCTCCTTCTCTGAAATTAAACAATAAAGGCTTTAAACTCTGTTCAAATATAGCTGTTTTTCCTCTACTATTGCCTTTAGAATGTACACAAAACTAGAAAAACAAGATGCATGCATTTTGGAAAGATGTGTTGACCCTCTGAGGGTCTGAGGAAAATGGGGATCAGAAAGCTCAATTTTCTTAATGTTATGTCATTGAAGAACTTCTATCCAAATATGACGGCTAGAGAAAGCCAGATGTAGTACTCATATAAAAACAATTCAGAGAATTCTGTTCAGACTGTGAAAATTACACTTCCCATAAATTCTTTTGCATTATCACACCACAAATCAGCCAAAGAGGCATCTGATTCTTGCTTTGAATATCAGTTGATTGACTGTTGTTAAAAAACATTTAATGGGACTCACTCAAAAGCTGAAAGATTATCTCATTTTAGCATTCTCAAATGCTGCTAACACAAAAAGTTCAAGAAGCACAGAGATTTAAATAAATGTTCCAAAATAATATCATCAATATCTACCAAATATACTTTGATCCATAATGAGCTATTTACCATATTCCTTAATCAGATGCATATTCCAAAACATTCTGAAGTATGTTTGTGAATAGTTGAGCTTTACTTTAATCCAAATGAAAAATGTTGTTCCATGGTAAATAATCTTTACTTTCTCTTTTTCTAAGTATTTGAATATATATAAGTACCTAATTGGATGTGCAAACATATGTGCAGATATTAGCGATATATATACACATAGATATAGCTATAAAACATCCATAAGACAAGTAAAAAATATATATATTAAGAGAGAAAGAGAAATGTTTAAATAAATCTAATTTTGGTTTTGATTGATCTGGATTTTGCAATATTGTCGACACTAATTTAAAGAGCCATCCTATATATATTTTTTTAATCTGTACCATAGGCAGTACTTTCTATTTGTTTTGTAACAGTAAATTTCAATGAAGATGACCTAAGTGCAAACAAAACCATCAACACAAAATAATATTTAGCATCTGCAAAGTGACTGGCACGCTGAAAGTACTGTGTAAGTATTTAATAATTCCTCAAAACAGACCTGAGGACCAGTAAGCACTTCCCCCATCAGTGTTGGAGAATAGGGAAACAAGGTACCACAAGGCACAAAGCAAGTTATCCCCTGCACCCTACATAGGGTACTGGAAACAACACTGCCTTTTAGTAGCAGTGTTTATGCAAATCTGCTCCGAACAATAGAAACTTAAAGAGATGGTAATAACTGCTCGTAAACACCCATTGTCTTTCCACTACAGTTAGTTTTGACATAGCATTAAGTATGAACAACTTCAGATGTGGAAGAGTAGGTGAAAAACAGCAGATGAGGCATACAAGCTCAGTGTAGTTTTTTTTATGATGAAAGAATAGTATTTGCTAGGGAAAAAAATGGAGTATATTGAATTAATCCCATGTATTTCTGTTCATTTCAAGCCTTAGAATGTTGTAGCTTTCCACTGAAATCAGCTCAGACAGAAAAGATGCCTGTATCAGCAGTTTTCATTTTATTTTTTTGCTCATAGTGCCTTTAAGGATTGTGCAGAATTTGAGGATGAATGGACACGCTACCTTTGCAAAGTTCCCATCTTTTTGTGATTTTTCAGTCTTTAAGGATGCATCTTCAGAATAAGTAGAATTTTTCTTCTTTTTAAGATTTCTCAGTCCTTAAAGATGAAGTCCTGGCTTTCCTTTAAAACTGTCTACAATGAAGGTGTTTCTATTGAGCTAGAAGGGATGACAATGGTCTTGAAAGACTTCCCTAATGTACGTTTTATTCTCTCTTTCTGAGGATTCCATCATTCCTTGGTCATGGATATTTTCATTAATAAAGCTAGGATGCTTTTTAGTTGGAAATGTTATATCCACTGACATGCTTGTTGATATCCCTCTGGTCAATTTTTGTCAAGAATATTTCTGCTTATTACCAGAACTCTGGAAAATGCTGCAATGTATAGTTTATCATAGAATTAGTTTATCATAGTCTTTAAGTAAGCATTTTGTTGTTGAGGACACCTGTAAAAGATTTTTTATATTTCTTTCTTCTTGTTAGAGGAACCACACAAGAACAGATGTTCTCTTTTTCCTTGAGTATGTCAAAGTGAAGACTCCAATTTATTAACATTTAAGACTGTCCATATTCTTGTTGAAAAGGAACCACTGCTCATTCACAACATGCAAAACAAAGTTTTGCTCCATTTCTGAATTTCTATTTCTAAAGGAAAAATCCAAATTAAATCTTCAAATGAGCTTTTGGCATGAATGTCAGTATCCCATGTCTTCCAACACCACCACATTACTATTGACATGACCCAAAATATAAAATCAAAGGTGTACAAAGAAAAAAACATAAGTTGACCTTCTGTGACCATGAACTGTTCCCTGTTATAAACCTCATTTAAGATTCACATCTGACACAGCACATATAAAGATCCTGCCTAATTAGGCAAGGGAAAAAAATTACAATTAATTTTAATTTTGCTGTACGACTACTAGCCTGTCATCCCATTAAAGATCTCCAAACTGTGGGAATGGTGTCTTTCAAGGTAATAAATTACTCAATACATGCCTAGGTTGAAAGGGTTGACTGTATTTAAGTAAATATCCTAAAATTTTTCTAAATATTCCACTGAAGATTATTTTAACTCATGTTCTTAATATGACTAACAGCAGTCTCAACCAAGCTCTACCATCAGCTAGTGGGAACTAAGTGGGTTTATGATAGAGCCTTTATCTCATAGACTCTCAGTGCATAGACCTTCTTTGCATACCAACTGAAACGCCAGCTATATATGATTTGTGGCAAAAATTATAAGTCAAGCCTAGAATAACTACTGAGTGAAATTTCAAATAAAGCAGGAGTAGACAAATGTAATTTCTGGCATTGTAACGTTCTACACAAGGTATCTGTACGTCAGTAGTGTTGATGATACTCTGACAAGTTATTAAATCTGTTACACCATTTAAATTCTCTTTATATATGAAAAGTGAAGTCACATCTCTCCCATACCAGAGATATTTCACTTATTGTTAATCATCCATAGTTACTGTGTCTAATCAAATTTGGCAACACATGCTGCCTTTGTAGTCAAAAGAGAGATGAGCTCTCACTCATTTTAGAATAAGAAATAGGACTGGGGATGGATAGTTAACCACAAGCTTTAGCTGTCATCAAGAAGCACTACACAGTATACCTATATGCCAAGACTTGAAGGACAGACTTCTGTCAGACTCCATGGATATTATTACAAAAAATTCCTAACATACACTGCAGAAAGAATAGTTTTTCATGTAGATAAATTATAGACATCACTGATAAAAGAGGAAAATGAAGATGTACTTACCAAGAAAAACAGAGGACTCACAGTAGTAATAGCCATTGGGTTGCTTTTTTTTCAACATAGAGCAAAGATCGAAGCGATGCAGGATTTCATTTCCAAAATAATGGCTTTTATAATCTTCATAAAGGCTTGAGTCAATTTTTTTCACCTTTAAACATCAATATAAAGTTCAATTACAGGTTCTGCTAGAAGACTGAACTTTCACATTTAATGCCTATAGTTTTCATTTTAACCAGAGGTTTTGTTAGAATGGAAATTTGCTTCAAAATGAGAGAAGAGTACTGAAACAATGCTATGCCAAATATTCTGTTTCAGCTACGCAGTTATCTACTGCAGAACTTAAACAAAGGATTAAAAATGTCATTAAACCTCCTTTCTACTCATTCTTCTTCAGTCATGTACCATACACAACACTGCAAGTGCTTTAATTTCAAATGGTTTGCAAGAGTCTTCATGGAATACTTAACTGTAAATTATTCTCCATATCAGCACCAGGCAAGTTATTACAGAGAAAAATCTCAAATGTTTGTCAAGAGCAGTTTTATGTTCTCAAAGTCATCAAATGGAAAATACGTACTTTTTTTTTTTTCCTTTTTTTTTTTCCCTAACACATTGGCGCTGTGGGGACACAGGCTCTATGATGGACGTACTTGCTGCTGTTCTCTGTGCAGGTGCCACTGGTAGGAAGGCTGAGCACGTATCCCCAGACATAGGCAGAAGTGTAGAGGACATACACTGAAAGTGCCCCAGCAAGACACTGGTGCAACAGTACCCACAGATAGGGCAGACAGCAGACAGACCCCACTCCAGCATCTGGCACTGAGACTCCACTGGCTCCAGCCACTGACACAGCAGGCCTGCGGAACTCACACACTGCCCTAACTCGAAATTCACACACACCAGTCCCCCCAGTAGCTGGCCCCTTATCCCTGCAGCACACACAGGACTGGGAGTAAGATTACGCAGACAGCTGGTTAAGAGGCGATTTAATAAAACAGGACGGCTTTCAGTGGTCAAGCAAGTGCTGTTTTACATGATTTTTTACACTCTTTTTTGTCCCTCCTTTGTTTCTCCAATATGCCCTTCCCCAGTATGTTCGTCCATTAGTTCGTAGTCTCACCTTTAACATCCTTTAACATCCTGGACCCTCAAGGTTTACACAAACCAACAGTTGCGATGTCCTATTTTGCCTGTACTTTCCCAGCAGCCCACCAATTAGTGTCATTGGCAACGTTTCTTTCTTGGTTTTGCCTGTATTACATTTGCCTGACAGCTTTGAGTCTCTATACATTTTATTTATGGCTTCTCTCTTCCCCTTATCACCCCACTTGACAAGACCTTCTACTAGACAATCTGATGGAAATAAGCATTCCCACACTCCGCACACTCATAGCAATCACTGTGACTGACTAGGTTTAACTCTTGTTGCTGTCTCCTTAATCAAGTTAGTCAGGCTTGTGTCTCCATATGCCACTGCTTTTGGCTTCTTGCTTTTCTTATTATCTCCATCCACACTGAAAAGGTCCTCCACCAGATGCCCCAAGGCAGATAGATGCTCTCTCCTTCCACATACCTTTATACAACATCCATTTGTCTAAGCAGTGCACATACTCATTTCTTGTGATCCTTTCACAGTTACTCGCATGCAATATGTGCTCACCGAAGGCTTTCTACTGAGTTATTACTTCAATAAAGGTTCACTTCAGAAGAACCTTGTTTCTGTAAGTACCTACACATTCGGTTCTATCATTGTAAGTCTTGTTCAACCAGGTCAGAAATGTCTTTCCAGTTCCTTAATCTCTGAAATAATGACATCTAGTGGTGGATGTTTTCTATCTAAGGTACACAATCTCCTTGTAAGTGTAAGTGCATTCCAAACTCACTCATTATTTAAAATATGATATTCTATGGCTGAATTAGTTCTTAGATAATTTTGAATTCTAGCCTACTTTGAAACTAAATCATCAATTGTGTTCTCTGGCTGACAGTTCTTTGAAATACGCTTAGTCTTCCATCAGTAATTTAAAGAAAGACCTTTTCAGCCAGGAGAATGCTTGTCAAAATGTGAAGCCTCAAGTATTCGGTGAAGAAAATGAGGGAGGAATCCAGGGAAGAGATCGAGATCATCATGCTCCAATAAGAAACAGCATTCAAAAGGGGCTGGGATGGTGCGTGTCAAAAACAGATTGGTTGTGAGTGAATCAAATGCTAAATGGTCAGGAATTGAGTTTTGCTGTTGACACATTCCTGGAAGATATTTGGAAACCTGAATGATATTTGTACTGACTTGGAGCAGTTGATGGAGCCCTGCCTGCAATGGCTGCAATGAGGTGCTGATGGCAAAAGGATGAAACAGTGCAGGTGCATGGGAAGGTCATGGCTCATTTATACAACGTGTCTGGAGCAGTGGAGAAGAGGAGCTGTTTCCACATGGGAAAGCTACAGACGCTCGATTACGAAGACGTGCTGTACTTGGGTGCTGGGTGGGGAGGAAGAAAACACCCGGCCTCTGAAGCAGCGCCGCAGTGAGCGGAGTCCTGCGGGGCACGCGGCCGTGCGAAGGGCCCACAGCGCAGCAGCAGAGCCCGCCGCCTGCCGAGGGCCGGGCTGGCATCGCGGCGGCCAGAGGGGGCGCTGCGGACCCGGTGGAGCGGCTCGGCCCCGGCGCAGTGCCTCCCTGACAGGCCGGGAGCCAGGGAAGGAAGAAGGGGGTTGAGGTGGAAGTCGCGGCCTTCACACAGCCGCAGTGAGCTGTTCACCGGTGGGCGAGGAGGACGAGTGGAGGGTAAGGAGAGGAGCTGGACGCAGAGAGGTGGCTGTTACTGTGGCTTCTGTAAGGGAGACTGGCTGACCCCTACAGCAAACGTTCATCTGCTGGCACAGAAATTGGCACTGTGTGAAGAAGCAGGTGCATAAATAGCAGGGAGGCCCAGCTGACCAGTCCGTGTGGCTGTGTCTTTGCAAGGCACTGTGGTCAGTGGGGCGGGCAGTTGATTTTGTATGTGCGTACATATGCACAAGTACGCTGCTGTATTTATGGGCATTTGTGCTTACTTGTGGTAAAGCTGCACAGTTCACTTCACAGAAATGCTGGGCGTAGGCCTGAGTTGCTGAGGTTGGGAAGGACCTCTGGCAATCACCCATCTGCCCTCTGGCTCAAAGCAGTAGCCTGCATCAGGTTGCACTGGACCACATCCAGTCAGGGATTTTGTTCTCCAGTAGAATGAGTGCCACATCAGCCACGAGTTGCCCCTTGCCATCACTGCTTGCGCCTGAACAAGAGGAGCAAGAGTGTTCTGACATACATATGTCTGTCTTGTGGTATGCAGGGGAGTTTGCAGTTACTTACTATGATACAGAAGATTGCTCGGTTTACTTCATGCCTGACACACCTGATAGTGAAGGCCTCGAGCTGCTGCAAAAAGTGACAGGGGAAGTTCATCCTAAATGCATAGTGACAAGTGCAAAACAGGATCAGAATATTGCCAATTTCCTGACCAACCTAGCAGACAGTGATAGCGATAAAGGAAAAATAGAAATTGTCCTGTTTCCTAACATAGATTTTGGCCTAGAAGTCAGCAAGCAACGAATTCTATCTAGACAATTTCCATTTATCCCATCCCATATGACTGCAACAGAAAAAATTCTTTATTTGTCCTCAGTCATCCCTTTTGAGTGCCCACTCATGATAAGAGCATTAGGGGGGCTCCTTAAGTACCTCGACAGGAGAAGGGTTGGAGTTGAACTGGAAGAAAGCGGTATTGCAGTTCCTGTTTTAGCCTTTAGAAAGTTTGTTCTGTCAGAAACTGTGAATATAGACCAAGACACTTACAGTGTTCTACAGATATTTAAAAGTGATATCCATCCTTCTGTGTATAAACTTTCTAGTGGATTAAAAGAAGGATTCAGTTTATATGGGATTTTAAATCGCTGTAGATGCAAACGGGGAGAAAAACTTTTGAGGCTGTGGCTTACACGACCTACTCGGAACTTGACAGAGCTAAACAAACGGCTGGATGTTATCCACTTCTTCCTGTTGGCTCAGAACCATGAAACAGTCCTTACCCTTCAAGATTGCCTCAGGAATATAAAAAATGTGCCTCTTATTCTAAAAAGAATGACTCTATCCCATACAAAAGTTGGTGACTGGCAAGCACTCTATAAGACAGTGTGCAGTGCACTGTGCCTTAGAGACACATGTCGCTCTCTGCCCCATAGTATTGAACTCTTTCAGATTATTTCACGCGTCTTCACTGATGATCTGCAATACATTGCTAGTCTTATCAGCAAAGTGGTGGACTTTGAAGGCAGCATCTCACAAAATCGCTTCACTGTTAGACCCAATGTGGATCCCACCATTGATGAAAAGAAGCGAAGGCTAATGGGTCTGTCAGACTTTCTTACAGAAGTGGCACAGAAAGAACTGGAAACGTTGGACAACCATATTCCTTCCTGTTGTGTGATCTACATTCCTTTGATTGGGTTCCTTCTCTCCATTCCACGGCTACCGAGCATGGTGGATAAAAATGACTTTGAAATTGAAGGCTTGGACTTCATGTTCTTGTCAGAGGATAAACTGCACTACAGAAGTGCTAGAACTAAGGAGCTAGACAGCCTGCTGGGTGACTTGCACTGTGAGATAAGAGACCAAGAAACACTTATTATGCACCAGCTGCAGGCAAAGATCTTGGAGAGGTCTGAAGTGCTTAACAGTGTGATTGAGTACACTGCACACCTGGACGTGCTGTTGGCTTTGGCAGTGATGGCTCGGGAGAACTCCTACTGCCGGCCACGCTTTACTCAGCGCCATGGCTTCCACATCAAGGACGGAAGACATCCACTGATGGAACTATGTGCAAAGACATTTGTGGCTAATCCTGTGAACAGTGGTGAGGCTACCAGACGAATAAAGATAATCACTGGGCCCAACTCATCTGGAAAGAGCGTCTACTTAAAGCAAGTAGGTCTTATAATATTTATGGGTCTAATTGGCAGTTATGTGCCTGCAGCAGAGGCAGAGATCGGAGCAATTGATGGGATTTACACAAGAATCCACACTAGGGAATCAGTTTCTGTAGGACTCTCCACATTCATGATTGATCTTAACCAGGTTGCCAAAGCAGTAAACAATGCCACAGAGAGGTCATTGGTACTTATCGATGAGTTTGGCAAAGGGACCAACACACTAGATGGCCTGGCCCTTCTGGCTGCTGTGCTGAAGTACTGGATCAATCAAGGAACCCAGTGTCCGCAGGTCTTTGTGTCCACTAATTTTCACAGCTTAATGCAGCTGGAACTTTTGCCTGACACACCTCTTCTAGAATACCTCACCATGGAGACTCACCAAGATGGAGATGAATTGGTGTTTTTCTATCAGATCAAACAAGGAGTATCCACTGTTAGTCATGCTGCCAACATTGCTGCACTAGCTGGAATGCCTGCCAAAATTATTGAAAGGGGAGTGGAAGTATCAGAACTGATTCGCAATGGAAAAGCTATCAAACGTATTGATCATCCTTCAAAAGGAGACCAGATGGAAAAATGCAAGGCTGTTGTTGAAAAGTTTCTTAGCCTAGACCTTGATGATCCTAATGTGAACTTAGAAGAGTTCATGCATAAAGAGGTATTGCCCTCTGCAGCCTCAATTCTATAGCATGACTATGTCTAAAAGCATATATTACAAGGTATCTGCCACGTTCGATAGGGTGGCTTGGTAATTTCAACAATAAAGACTATGCCTAATGCCTCACACACTTTTAAAAATTGTCTATAATGTATGTCATTTCTTATTCTTGTTTAAAATCAGTATGGTAGTTGTATATCCCTGTATGGTGCATGATATGAAAGCAGGAAGACTTGAAAGAGGAGAGAACCTCTTCCAGCTGTTGGATTGTGCATTTTGAGCCCCTATTGTTAGATTCTCAGACTGAAAAAATACTGTAGAAAAATCAAAATAGTTCTGCTGGTCTCATGGCACTATAAAAACAAAGTGTTGATTGTTTTGTTGAAGTAATCATTTCAGTCATTTTGGGATCATCATCAAAGGATCACATGTAAGTATGTGCTTTGGACTCCCAGAACAACAGATCACTTTGTTACAGTACAAACCACTAAAGTAGACACTGCTTAATGGAAATATAGAGGGATTTAATGAGCTCTGTGACATTTAATAAAGCTGCATTTCTGGCCATAAAGGCAGAGAGATTCCAAGAGCTGATATAAAAAGAATGGGAGTCAGAATCAGTGGGGTCTAACTAGAGGGGAAACGCTTTGGTTTTATCGATAATCACTCTCTTAAGGTCCTGCAGAGTAAGAGTACATAACTATGCTTTGTGAGTACAAAAACAAAATTACAAGTCCAGGAAATGGTAAACTATACTAGGCATATAAGGCAGGAAAAACCAGCATTTTTTTCAACTATTCAACTTAATACCAGAGCAAAGGAATCCATTTCACTTCTGTCAGTGCCAAGGATCAACTCTGAACCAAGCATTTGATCACTGAGTATGCAACACATATACATGAACAAGTGAATAAAGAGGAGGTATGATATGTAACTATCACAGAAGTAATAAACTTCTCTGCAAGAGCATTAAGTGCCTTATCTAAGTTATCTAAGACAGAAAAGACATGAGATAACTGATTGTCTGTAACAGTATTGCTAATTGGAGAGAATCAGCAGATACACTGGATCTCTCTTCAGCTCTACTTGATTTCAGGAAGCCAAGATTCCACTATCACTAATTCAAGAGAAAAAAATTATATGAGAAAAAAAAAAAAAAGTTATATTCCTAATTACTAACATTTAGATACTTAACATAGATACTAAACATTTTATCTGTTTGGTATGTTTTACTGACGACAGCAAGAAGGTGAACGTGAGTGTCCACCAAAAAGATCTGAAATTAGAGACAGTTCAGTGCAGGCTCAGTGCAGAATGTCCTCCTTTTATGATGTGCATTTATGACACTACAAAATAAAAAACTTTTGTTATCTATAATGAAACCAGGATAGTGACAAAAGTTTAACATAAACTGCATTAAAAATACAAGAGTAAATGACCAAACTGTGCACTTTTGCTGCTATTTTCAGTGTAATAATACTGCCTGCAAAATAATATCTAACATCTTGGGGATATTACCACTGAAGTTGAATGACAGCAGTGAACAGGCCATGTACTACACTTACAAGTGTTGTTTACAGATTTTTCTCACAAATATATTCTCTTTTATTAATTATACATACTGCATTCTAAACATGTGCTGCATAGAGTTATATCATATGTCAAATATTCTTAAATTATACTTTTGGAATACTTTCTTGTCAACCTATGCCTAGACTAAGGATATACAGCTTTTTAGTTAAGCAGATGCTATCTGAGCAGTGTAATTGCCAGTCATCTACTAACAAAATCCATTTCATCACATTTGCAGTTCAGGCAGCAGTATATGTACTAAAGGATCTCTGATTATTATACAGCATTTATCAGGTGTGCCTCACAACACTCCCTGAAATAAATAGCAGATGAATGAAAAACAGAGGGTTGTGACTGACCTACATCAACGTAGCAGAATAGTGAGGGAAACAGGAATAGAAATGTTATTTTTAAGTGCAAAACTCAGTTACTTCTTTCACTGTGTTTCAGATGTTCTTTGTTCAGAAGATAATGATACTAACCCAGTATTCTTACCATCCAAGTCAGCTGTGAAAACAACTAGGCACGTGCAAGTAAATTATCTGCCTTTGTCTCAGTCCAAAGGCACCCAAAGACACACAGTGCCTGCTTAATCTGGGGAAGTTTTCCATGGCGCATTTGATTTCAGGATTGTCAAGCTGAATGTGAAGAATGAGTTTCTCCACTTCTGAGCAGTTAAGAAGGTTCTTTAACCTGAGAAGCTGAGAGGGCACTCAGGCAGCTCTTTCCTTGTCCACTTTATCTGAAATGTTATCCTTCACTAATTTTGATTTCCAAGGTTGTGGGGTTTTTTTTGTTTGTCTGTTTTTGTTAATATTTATCATTTATCATTTTGTCTATTTTTAGCTTAATGCTGTGACTTCAAAGTGCAAAGCTGTTTTCTTGAGATTTTTCTTCATTTTGAACTCTCAAACTCTTTTACATTGTAAATACCCATGACAACTTTGGAAAGTTCAGGTCTTCTCAGAAGATACATAGGTCACAAAATGTAAAAAGATATTTAAAATTATTTTTACAAAAGGAAATGTTGGTGGAGTTTAGATGTCATTGTATGGAGAATGGTTTAAAGTACTGATTCAAATTAGAAATCTCACATTTTAAAAAATTCTGATATATTTTTGAAGCTGTAGCTATGAACTAAAGTCAACTACTTTGTTCTGTTTACTCTTTTATATGCTTTCTCATGCCATCGTCATCCACTCTCCATTTCTTGTTTTTCATGCTGTTATATGATCTGAAAATGCAATCCAACATTATGTTAAGAAATACAACAAAATAGATAGAATTTCTGTGTTTCATGTTGTTATTTATTGTTGTCAGGAAATGCAACTAAGAAAACTAAAAGAAACTATCTTACTAAATATATGGACACAATTATAAAAATGATAGAGAAGACTGATGCTAATGCCAGACAGTGGACTGACTGACAAAAATTCCTGATAATTTACAGATTTTTAATACATAATATCTTTCTAAACAGTGCATCTTCAGAATACTATGTGTATTATCCAGTATTATGGAGGACTAAGGAAGATGATTTGAAATGACACCGACCCGGTTCTGTCAGTAGCTGTGAATATCAGAACACAGAAAATATGTATCCTGGCCAATACTTCATGCAAGGTAGATAAATGTTTAAAAAAAAAAAAAAAAAAAAAAAAAGCAGACTGGCAAAAAAGCACCTTGATTATCTGAGATGTTTTAACAAAACAGTAACATTGGTGAACAGCTGATATTCTGCAAAAGCTGTGGATTTTTAGAATGTTTTAAAAAGCAGCTGTTAATACAAGCAAAAGCTTCAGCCTACAATTTGATGAGCTGTAACACATCACCTACAACCTGCAGACAAGTCCTTATTTTGCTTCAGAGCAATTATGCATTATGTCCCTGAAGCTACTTAATACATCTCAGAACTCATTCCATCTTCCAGCTGATTTCAGAATATTCCTTAATTAAGATCTTCACCTTTCAGATTTTATAGTTTTTTTTCTAATGAATAAAGTACTTTAATGCTTGCTAAATCACCTGACAATAATTGTACTGTGTACTTTAATCCTTATTTTTAGAAAATATTTCTTCTGAAAATTACTTTCCAAGCCAATGTTGAAAGGTTACATAAAGCACTGTATTGTGCTTTATTATACCAGCAAAGAAATTTTATGGAGATAGATCTTATGTTAATAATAAATTACTGTTAAGTTAGTGTGAAATAAAAAGCTAAATATCCTATTATTGCTTCTCTGTATTTCTCATTATAGTTATTGTAGCTTACTTCTAAGTTTGTCTACTTTTTCTTGTAAAAAAAAGCTAATAAATGGGCAAGAAATAGATACCTGCAAGAGAATATAATGCTGCATTTTATCACTACTGTGTAATTCAACAAAACATATTCAATCAAAAGAAATGCAAGCCTGCACATTATGCATAATCAACATATAAATTCCCCTGTTTATTTACCTATTTTCTCCCACAGAGTAACCAAACAATATCCACGCAAGCAGCATATAAATTCTGTGACAGCATTTCCAACTATGTGATCTACACCTTAGTACTAATTCTGTAATTTTGAACAAGTAACTCCACCTTTTTGCTTTGCATAGTTTCACAAAAGAAAACAGGCTATGATTTTACTGTAATGCGAATATCAAGAGTATTAACCTACAGTACAATATAGGACTACTTTTTACACAGTAGATGTACTAATTATTCCTTCCAACATATCAGTATTTTAAAGTCTTACCTCTTCAGCTGGCTACAAAGATGTAAAACTATGATGCTATAGCATAAGCAACTCCTTCGTTCATCTACGAATTAAACTTTCTGGATTGCTGCTGAGCTACATGAAACCTGAGCTCACCTGCTTACGTAGCTGTGTTGATTTTGACAACTTCATAAAGGTCAGATGGGGCTTAAAAGCTCTTTCTTCTCCTGCCAAGATGCCCTTTTCTTGAAATATCTTCCTCATAGTCTCTAAGAGGGGAAGAAAATGTAGAGGAACTCAGAAATTAAACCACAGAATGCTTAAAAGTGTGTTTCCGACTGTAGTATGAGTCACAACCACGCCAGTATTTAAAAAAAATATATAATACCAAAAGGCAGAGAGGTTTCTACACAACTTCAAAGGTATTCACTGTTTCATGCAAAAATCTTCTTGCATTTGCAATTAATATGGGTCACAAATTTGGCATTAGTAAGATAATGGCAATTAAATAGCAATCAGTGCTGCCTTCTTTTGCCGTCAGATTAAAACAGTCCAGGAGTTCTCACTGAAAAGTTTTGCAAACTCCAGGAAGACTATAAACAAATACCAAAATTTTCTGTCTTTAAAAATATTGTTCTGTGATAAGTCCTACTTTCTCTATTTGGGTAATATTCCTCTTAGACTAAAGGAATCCTGAAGTTGGAAGCTATAAAGTCTGTCACTGAATTTATGTGGCAGAGCTGCAAGACATGCTAAGTATACTGAAGTTAGATTCTTATTGTTCTACTTTTTTAGTCTTCACTGTTGCCTTTGAAGTTCTTTTTCTAATTTTGAAATACACATTTGTCTACCACAAAGGTCAAAGCAGCTCTACTACACAGACCTTGCTTACCATATCACAGCTAATCTGCCCAATATAATGTTTTGTTTCTTGGAAATACATTTCAGTGGAATTATTGAACTAGGCTTTATTTTTAAACTGAAATACTATAAATGAAAAATATCTGTTGTAATTTTGAAAGTTCAGATGAAATAGATAAAACCTGTGGCAAACAGAATATTCCTATTATCGAAAAACAGAAAAACTGCTAACATTTTTTTTCTGTGCAAATACAACTTCAAATTTTTCACTAGCTGTAAATCTAGATGACACACGCTATCCTTGAGCTAAAATCGAAACAGGAAAAAAAAATCCTATCAGATGAATTTAATCTACTCTTACTATAATCATGTATCTGCAGTAATGTGAATTACTTCTGGTTGAAATGCTTGAGCTGTATCAGAAAGATCCACTGCATTATTCTTCTCCTTGGAAGGAAATGCATTACACTGGGAAGTGAAAAGCAAGGCTAGATGAAAAAAGGGAAGGCCCAATAAACCAAAATTCAGGCATTTAAAGCTGGCTAGCACGAGTCTGCCAGTTCACACATTCTTCTAGTACTTACTCTTACCTTTTTGATTGTTTGCTATAGTAAATATATGTGAGGTACTTTGGAATCACATACAAGAAGAGATTTTACAAGCTTGTGCATGACTTCACATCAGAGGAGTTCTAAAAAATACAGTTCTATATAAGATGTCTTAAAACTGGAAGGCTGACATATTTCACTTGAATGGAGAGAAAAGATTCTAGAGATCCCATGAAGTTTTTTGTTGAAGCTAGAATTGGGTCTCTGGTGGAAAACTGGACAGCTGGAGAGAAGATTTGGCTGTGCGACAGTGTGAATTGTCAGTACTAAAGCCACTTTTTTTCCATAGCCAAGTAAATTCAGGCAAATCGACAATACACTGTTCAAAACACAGGTAACAATTGGTATAAACAGTCACTTGCCCTGTGGTAGTCAGTAAAATTAGATTTGGTTTCACTCTATGGTTTTTGAGTCTCCATTCATTTACCATCCGAATTTATTTCTTGCAATTACTACTATACTACCCAGCCAATGAAGTAAAGCAAACATTTGTAATTACAACTTTTGTAATAACATCGAGAAAAGAGAGATGAGAAAGGCATCAAAATTTAATTTTAAAGTAAATGCCAGGGTTTCAAAATAAGCTACTAGAATTCTCTTTCTGGAGGATGTATTCATATTCTGCATGTAAATAGAGAAGGAGGTGGAGGTATGATGCAGCCCAAGAGATGAGGTACAAAAGTGATCTGGACTTCCTTCCCACAAGTCAAACAAACTCACTGTGTTATGTTGGACAATCACTATTCTTTTCTCATTTAATTCCTCTCGTTACATGAGAAGATTATATAAAAGTGCATGTATGTGTATATTTATGTATGTAAGTAAATATTACAGAATCATAGAATGGCTGAGGTTGGCAGGGACCTCTGGCCCAACTGGTCTGACCCCTAAAGCAAGGCCACCCAGAGCAGGCTGCCCAGGTCCATGTCCAAGCAGCTTCTGAATACTGCCAAGGAGGAGGCTCCACAGCCTCTCTGGACATCCTGTGTCAGTGCTCAGTAGAGAAGTCTTTTCCCACATTTGGACCAACTCTCCTGTGTTTCAGTTTGTTCCTATTTCCTTCCATCCCCTTCCTCCATTCTTCCCTCCCTCTCCATCCAAATGAGTGCACAGGCATAACTTCCATACAGATCTACAAGTAAACTGTAGATCTATGCATCTACATATCTTAAACTACTATCTGTCAATAGCTTTGGATATGAGGCTATACACAAGATCAGCTTACCTACCTGTATTATTTTGTGTCTGTGGGAAACAGTTCTACCTTTGCCCTGAATCCCTGCTAAGCTATTATGCAGCTGTGCACACAAGAATTCATGAACAACAGATTAACATATCAAAACTAAATAAATGTTTGCTGCTTATTCAAATTGAGATGCAGAAGTTCAAATTAACTCAATTAATAATGCTGGGCATGTATTTCTGTGCTTCCAATGGCCAGCTTATTTTCTGATGTTGGTAAGCAGAGTAAATGCTGAATAAAGCGTTAGATGAATTTAAAACTGAAATGGTTGGTAACAAACCCATTTTCTGCTTCCTTTATTTGGTCCTCTGAACAGCATCATCTGGGGACTCCTTGACTTTGATACTCCAGCAAAGGATTAGTCATTAAAAACAAGTTCATGCTACCCTGTGATAGTCTCATGGTTTGTAGTCTTTTTTTCTCGACTGTGAAGCTCAACTCTTCTGCCACCATGTCTTATCTCTCCCCTCTGCAATTAAGATCTGTGGTGATGAAGATGTGATTACAGAGATATGTCCCTAATTCCTCTAAGAGCTCAGTGTCACAGCAGTGGTTTAGCCAATCATGGGATTTAAAACATGGTATTTTCAACAAGGTAGAATGATTATGATGGTTCTATAAATGTGTGTTACAGTGGGACAGTAAGGAACCTACATTTAATAATGCCGAACAGCAGCCACGTAGCATGGGTGTCTTCATTTTGTGCTAAATAAACATATTTATAATTTTGTTTCCAATCATCTTTTCAAAATCATCTTTTTTTCCTATCTGGAAATTCTAAAGAAGAAAAAACATAAAGAAAAACTGCTGTGAAGTAGAAAACAAGAGAGACTGCAGTTTTAAATTTGATCTATTTACATGTTTATGTGTGTGCCCATGTGTGTTCCCATGGTGATCGGACATAACCTCCTCACACATCCTCCTTTGCTGTGGGATAGATCATTATATAAATATCACAGGCTCAAAAGATTGGCCACACTTACTGGCACTACAGATAACTTCAGTTGTATGGCTTTGTAGTACACTTTGACATTTTACAGGTTAAGGTGACTTACAAATGTCATACCACAGTGTTTCTTTCCTCAGAGATAATGAAAATAGGAAGAAATCTGAGGAGATGGAGGGGAAAGAAAGAAACAAAGCAAAATGTTATTCTGAGAGCACAGGAAGAGTAGAAGATAATGTAATGCTATTAATATCTATGCAGCCCTCAGAAGAAGAGATCACAAGGAGGGTTTTAAAAGAATGGGGATAGGAAGCATGGATTTTGTGGGCAGAAAAAAAGTTCCAGGCTTAAGGGATTTTATGAAAGGGGATTTGAAGAATGAACAAATATGTGAAAGTTAAACTTCATGATGAGGATTGCCTGATCTGAAAGCAAGCAGAGGTCAGTGACAAGAATGATAGACAGACAGTGCACATGGGTCTAAGCATCTACCATCTTTCCCTCATACATGACATTACTAGCTGGACTGAAAAACTAAGAGGATCTGTATTTTCCCTTATTAATTTCAGGGTGACCAGTTTTTGCAGCTTCAAAGAATACCCTCAAAAAGTTAAGGCTATATTTGCAAGCTCAGTGACTTCCTATAACAAACTTTTGGACAGCTTTCAGACCATCTTTCATGCAGTTCGCTGTACTCTGCAATATCACTTTGCACATTATTTTTACAATGTCAAAATTACTGAATGTCATCTGTGCCTTTTATATTGGATGTAGCTAAATTCATTAGACAACTGTTTTCCCATAATTAGACCTGAAATACAATACATGAAACTTGTCCAGAACAGCTATAAACTTGAAAGGCTCAGAAATTCCACAGCTAGATCAATACAGAATGATTCACAGAAAAATTGCTGTATGTGAACTGTTGGGTCACAGCCTGAACCACTGCTTGATTACCTGGGGAAAGGACCTGGTCAGCCCTAGGAGCACAGGTGAAGGTAATCCACTCGTGTGACTGGAAGGGGTGGAGCCTGGCTGCACCTCTCTTAGCCCTGATTTAAGGGCTGACTGCCTCTGGGGAAAGATTTCTTCTTGGAGATCCTTCTTTGATGAAGCTTTCTCTTGTGATCCTGGAATCTTGTGATATGGGTATGTAATCTTATTCTTTTTCCTTATAGTACCTTTCTAATGTGCTGGTTCTTTTACCATCACGCCTTTGATGTAAGCTTTTCCCATTGGTTTGATCTGCCTAACTGCTACAATTGTATATTGAATAATAATCCATAATAGCCTTCTTCTTTTCCAATATTTCATTGAATGCATGAAACTACTATGCTTTCAGATTTTCTTCCAGTTTATTAATTTCTGCTCGTTTTTAAACCATGGTCCCTAAATTAGAAGACTTAGTTGAAGTGTTCCTGACTATTCTCTTAAAACTGAAGACACAGGGAAGCTAAGAATTGTTAAATTACACTTACAATTATAAATTTAACACACTAAGTAATGTACACTTTTCTTAAGTTCCTAGTTGTTATTTTAGGAGAATACTTTGTTGGCTACCACTTAGCAAAGTTTTGGGTATTACAAATTGGGTCTTCAGGTCATCCTTAC